GATTTCTTTTAATTCTCATTCCAATAAAACTCAAACTTTAATTCCATATAAATTAAACCCTTTGGATTTAATAGTAAATTTTCTAAATTTTAATTTAATAAACAAATCTGACCTCTTCGGACTGGATTAATCACGCAACCTGGTCCAAATCCCGGGTAAATAACTTAAATGTTTTGACCCAAAAACGGACGTGACATTATCCACGTTCTATCGATTCGCTGGTTATGCAAACGCAAATCGCCGCGGAAACGAATCCCGCGGTAGCCGAGGGGACGTTCTCTAACGAGGCGCTCCGTAACGGCGCGGGCGCGGGCGCCTCGAGAGAAAGGAGGGCCGCATTGTTTTCCAACCACCGGGTACGTAGCGGCACTAATTCGATTTTATTAGCGTGCGCGCTCACGCGACATGCCTCTCGCGTCGCGAGCACGTGAGTAACACGTGGTGCGAGCATGTGCATTTCGCGCGTTAAAGGGACGGGCCGGATGGGCGCTGCCGCGTTCCGCGCGAAACAGCCCGCGGATCTGACAGGCCAGAGCGAGGCCGGCGAGGCCGGTGAGGCGCGAGTAAACGAGCGCGAACAAGCACGTATATAACAATTTGCAAAACGTTTGTTGGCGCTTATTCGCGCTCGTTCGCTTGATCTAGATGTCCGGCTTCACGTGTCGCTCGTGGCGTACTTGCACGCGTGAAATCGAATACCTACGTATTGCTTGGACTCGTAAGTCTCTCGCGTAGTTTTGGCACAAGGAGACTAAACTAAAAGAGAAATCAATATAACGCTCGGTATACGTTCTTTCCCTTCGAACATCGATTATCTCTTCGAGGTTTCCGATCGTCGTCGTCGACGCGCGTTACATCGACGTTCTTTATTCAATATTTTTATCATACCAGATTTTTTATCAGATTTTACTGTCAAGGGGTGTCAAACAATCGGAAATAATAGACATTTTTTGAGTTGTCTTCAGTTGTATTTTTTCGATTCAAAGAAATTGTCACGCTATTGCTAAATTTTTATTGTACTATTTGTAGAAATGCTAAAAAAAATCGTAAACATTAATATCTCTAATTGTCGATGTTACCAAAAAGAATGAATATTAGAATAAAATTAGAATAAGAATTCGTACTAATCAATTCCAAATTACAGTAATTACAGTAATCGTAAATATTACTATCTCCAATTGTCGATGTACCAAAAAGAATGAATATAATAAAGAATTAGTACTGATCAATTCCAAACAGTAATTACAGCAATTAATTACTTCCACTTACCATTAAACATAAATGACCTATATTCAAAGTTTTATTTGTGCAAGCACAACGTCAAGGCTGTCGTCTCTCTTATCGCGACTCCGTGAGTCGGCACGCGTACGGCATTGTTATTATGTTTTATTTTGTACTGCAAAAGTAATCAGGCTGATTAAGCAATGTTCGAGCAAAGGCTCGATCCGGTCGTTGAACGATAGCGATTTTAAGTATTTTAACCGTCGAATTCATCGATTTTAACCACCGAATGTCGCGCGCGCTCGCACGAATGACAATGGTTACTTAATAAACGTCAAAAGTGCCACGTATACGTTGCAATGATTTTGGCCTGCATGAATGGATATATATAATTATTATCGAAATCTCCCACGCTTTACGCTCCGAGACTTGCATTGATAATAAACTCTTCAACAAACATGCGGTTATAGATTTATTTTTATTTATCTTATCTCTATATTTGTCCAGTTCTCAGCACATTTCCACGTATCAAATTTATAACATATTATCTACTATTATATGTATATTCATTAATTTAATATATACAATACATATATTTCTATATATTAAATTTTCATTTATCTAGATTATCAGGAATGATTTCAAAGAAATAAACTGAAAACAGTTTTATGCCCTATTTGTTTTTTTATTCTTTTGTTGCTCGATTTATTCTCGCCTCCAAACGAAGAATCAGTTATGGATTTCTCAACCTTTGATTACATTTATTTAATCATTGTTTATTGTTTTAAAACTCGACTTCAAAAATATGTTTGCGATTGTTACTTTTATTATGTCACTACGCTTAATTTTATAATGCTTTCAAACGCGATGTAACTTCTTGCTGATCCACTATAATTGGCGTATTTTACATAACATTTTTATATTGTTTATTATAATATTTCATTAATATTTTAAACTATTTTTGATTGTTAATTTAGTGTTTCATTGACCTGATCTCTGTTCCTCATCTTTTATTTTCTTCACTGCATTGTCTATGTACTCTATGTGGCTTCAACTTTTTTATTGTATTCATTTTTTAATTAATAGCTGAAAATTTTAATGAATAAAAATTTAGTGTAGATCAAAATGTTTCATGGTATTTATATTTAGTATTTAATAAATTATTTAATTTTATTTTAACATACATTGCTCATTTATTGGCCCTTGACCTTTTCACATTGTTTTAATACACACGAGCCCGATTCTTTTATTTCATTTTATCAGGAATGTTTTCTTGCAAAACCCTTTCTCGGTAAAAGAGATCATGTCTTTTCCATTTCGATACTCCTGTATTTTTTACTACTTTTCTTTTCTCTTTCGTTTTAGCGTTCAAGAAAGGAAGGAGAAGAAAATCGAAACTCTGAAAGAGAAAACAGGAAATAGAAAGAGGAAGAAGGAAAGAGGAAAGGGGAAAGAGGAAAGAGGAAAGAAAGAAAGTTCTGCGCAACGGCGAATGCGATAAGCCAGACGAATGACGTATACAAAGAGAGCCAATCAAAGACTTTGATCAACTGGTGTCGCTCGTTAGATCGGATTAAAACAACATCCAAAGCGTAACGTCGGCAGAACTGTAAGGTCAGCAGAACTGTGCAACGGTAACATAGCAATATCGCCAATAATTTTGGAATTTGGTCAACTTTTCAATGCGAATTCGACCAAGAGCGGTGTCGTCGTCAGTATTCGTCCTTCTTGCGCGTCACACGTTTCCTACCAAGATGTTCAAGGCTTGCTTCACAATGAAAAATACCAAGCCGCTACCTGTGTTGTACGATATTAAAGATCTGTTCCCGGTAAGTATAAAAACGAGGGGAGAAAAGAATAAAGAAAAAAGGACCAGACGTGATGTTAGCCCTATGTATAAAAAACCCGTTAGGTCTACATCTGTTTGTATAAAAATACATTTATATTGTAAAAGGACATTTTACACATTTGTTGAATGTAAAATGTTGTGGAAAAATGTATGTAAATGTCTGTTAAGTCCCTTTGATTAAATTATGTTTTTCCTTTTTTATCAAATTATGTAAAAATAATCTTTGAGACAATTGACATGGGCCTTATAGCGAGATCAAACAACAATGATCTTTGAAATTCATGATATATAAAATTCAAAGATCTATATTATATCTATTTTTTTAAGTTACATCCCAAAAGTTGTTGATGTCTAAAGAGATATAGGTCTTGAATCTATTCAGGTATATTTTCTGCGTTTGAAAAGTGCAGAAAATAATGGAGAAGCGTATAGAACGTAAATCAATCGTCTTCGCTGAATCAATAACTAATGAGCTTCATTGATGAATAATGATTCGGCTGATTAATTATTATCCGAGTAAAAACACTATATGTTGACGCACTATGTTGAAATGTGCGTATGCGTAGTTTAAATATGTCATGTTAGAGTGACTAAATTGCGCTAATTTATTTGATTAATTCTATCAATAATAATTTTATTTCATTAATAACAATAATTTAGTTGTGAAACATCGAACGGGAAAAAAATTCGATAAAAAACACAGTTTGAAATAAATTTAAAAAAAAATTATCTCATGTTCGTTGCACAATAATTATTGCGCCAAAAAAAATAAATTGCGTTCTTTCGAAATTATCCAGTCTTGATGTATACTTTGCCTGATATAACTTAATTATAACTGTTAATAGAAGGAAAGAGCATATTTGGTCAAATATTATCTTATAAAATTTCGTAAATCTTTAGATTAATTAACCCATCTCCAATGATTTTGACCTTGACATATGCTGTCATAAACTTATCATCCTGAGTAATATACAAAAGATTTTTGCTGTCGCTCGTTGTTCATTAAAAAATTATTAAATAAAATTTGCATCCAAAAAGTGAGATCCATCGGCATCAGGATCTTGACTCGGATATGAAACGAGGTCTGTAATTGTACGAGTTAAAGGTTAAAGTTGAAGTGTGGGTCAGTTAATCTAAATATTTGTCAAATTTTAATTGCATTTTTTCGAAATTATCTAGTCTTGATATAACTTTGCCTGATATAATTTAATTGAATTGTAGTAACGTAAACTGTAATTAAGCTGAATGACGAAAGAAGCATGTGTGCCTTTGGTATTATCATGTTAGAGTATATTTAGTCAGATCCTATCTATCTTATAAAATTTAAACTTAATTTATCATATCACAGAAGAAAAAATCGAGATAAGCAGCAATTGCGAATTGTGAATTGTGGTGTCCTCTGCAGATTATCTTTCGACACGATCTGCAGTAACATGTGTAGTCGATAAACTAGAAAATTTATTCACATCTATTTTTCCGTTTATTTTACCGTATTTTAATAAGAAGTTAATAATTCAATATCTATTATAAGTAACAAGATGTAACGCAAAAATGAAGACAAAAACAAGACGGGTTCCTTTAATTTTGACCTTTTAATTGTTTTATCGAAAATAAATATTGTAGTGCAGTTTGCAAAGTCTTGGCACGTAGATATACCTATATACATCTACTGCGTTCTCTTATGTAATTGTTGAAAAAACTTGCCAATTTTTTAAATTGGTCCACGTATGAGTATCAAATACGATATAAAAAGTAATTCAATTTAATTTGACGTATTACTTTCTTTCTTTACGAATAGATTCTTGATCTTTTGGCTAAATTTAATCGATATTATTGCAAAATAGTCCCGTATGTAGACAGCAAAGGAATATGTATATTTTTTCTCCTTTTATCATTATACATGTATATACATAGAGGAAAGTACCCGATTATGAGATACCATATCTATTATTTTGTGTGACTGCCGGAAGTCTATGGGCAGAATTGAAAAATATAGTAGGTCATTTTGAAGGGAATTTAATAAGCTTTAAGATGCTGAAATGTAAAATTTAATTTAAATATTAATTTTGCTGAAAATTAGAAAAATGTGAAAAATGAGCTTTCGGCAAAATCGCAAAAGTGTGCTCCTAATATGAGGGACCCCGGGAAATCGCTAATAAAGTGCAAAATACATCAGTATTACTATTAAAAACCTTTATTTAATGTTTCTCAAATACACATGTGATGCAGAAGCATATTTGCAACAATCGTAAACCCACTTGTACTCAATATTGTACCTAATCTCCCCCCTCCAGCCTTCCTTCTCAAATCAAGGTCAGCACAGTCTTATAAATTCGTATAAACCTTCCCTTAACGTTAATATATTTTCTCTTCTTTTATTACTATACAATAACTTTCATACTCCAGCAACCCAGGAGTACCCTGAGTATCTTCATGTTACGAGTACCACGCTTTGCGGTTTCACGATCACCAAATCTAATCTCTAAAATTGAGCAACTCAACATATTCCGTATTTTCCTATTAATACGACCTTACTCTATCGCTGCATGCAGAACTTATTGCCAAATATTTATTAATTATATAATAAACAAGGTTTAAATACTCATATCCATGACACTTGACAACATCCAATTTCACAATTTCTTTCTCTGCAACGACTACACGCACGATCAAACAATGAATTTTTCACTAAATAGGTTTTACCCCAAAGGCAATAAGTTCATGGTGGAACCAACAGATAGGGCCTATTAGTTTAGCAGAAACCTCGCATATTAGGAGCCTATCTCATAATAGGGGACTTTCCTCTATATATATAACACTAACATATATATATTATAATAATACATAAGGCGCCCCAGGTTTTTCCGTACAAACTTTAGTAGTATGTTTTATAAACAAAAATAAGAAAAAAATATATATTATATGATATATCTATATAATAATAATAATAATAATAATAATAATAATAATAATACGTTAAAGCATATAATCTGCAACGCGATTTTTCCCTCGAAATCTGTTTGTCTTCGAGTGCTTCTTTCAATCCAATGCGGAAAGTGGATCACGTGTCCGATCCCCATTCACGTGTCGCGGTTTTCCACGCGAATGCAATAAGCCAGACGAATGACGCATATAAGAGAGCCGATCAAAGGCTTCGATCAACTGGTGTCGCTCGTTAAATCGGATTAAAACAACGTCCCAAGCGTAACGTCGCTTTAAGGTCAGCAGAACTGCGCATCGCGACGCCACTCGTAGTCAGAACTTGTGCCGCGAACGATGGATTTCACCCACGTAAGAGTGCACCAGATACTCTCGTCGATTCGTGATGATAACGATTAATTGTAAGTCTTTCTTTTCTCTCAACTGGAGAAATTTCAAGTTGCAACGGTTCGTTCAGCATTTGACTACAGAATTTCTACCCCTACCAACGTCATGCTTGCTGAAACTAGAGAGAGTCCACTCAAGATAAGATTCGATTATTTTGTTTCGAACTTGAGTCAGTCGCAGGCTCTTCTATTTCTGAAAAATTCATTGTTCCCTGAAAACTACTCCTACCTTTAAACAGTTCACAACAGCACAGCTTAGGCATATATACGTTCCATTATTATGAATAATAGGATCTCTCTCCTACCGATTTACTGCTTCTTCAGTCACGAATCTCAAACGTTTACTCCTGATTTAATTATGTCACCTTCAGTCGCTTCCCGACTAAATTAAGCTATTCTATTTTTAAATTTCTATTCTCAAAATTCACAGATTATGTTATCACGGTTTATATATATATGCAAGAATGACAACGAGGCTCCTGTTGGTAGCGCCCTTTACTCGCCAAAGCTCTAGCTTAAGTTCAAATATAAATTATTTAGCAGAACGTCCATTTTCTCTGCTGAGGCATGGGTTCTCTATCAAACTATACTCCTAATAATCGATCTAAAGATAAGAGGCTCACGTAACAAAGTAGAATTTGAACATTGCTCAAGGATCTTTGCTCCTGGCCGTATCGACTTCAGCTTTTGATTCCATTACATATAGGAAGAAGAAGAAGACGATCTTGAGACCATTTGTCTCGAAATTGGCGATCGAGGATAACATCATCGTGAATAACGAAGAAAAGAAGAAAGAAGAGGACGCGTGATATATTAAAACCTGAAACATTGCGTTAAAATTATAATCTGACGTGGTTATAAATTTTTATTACGCATCAGTGATCGCTTTTCGCATTGGATACTAAATCGGTAGTGAAGTATACAATATTGCTGGACGAATCTGAAAGTTTCTGAACAATAAGATATGTCGTTCTAAAAAGTTCTAAAAAAGTGAACGAGTTTCATGTAATGTGTAAATGTAAATAAAATAAAAATTAAAAGAAATATCGCGCAATTTGAAGCTCGCTCTAATTACACACATTAAACATAATTAAATTCACCCTTCACAAATTAAAAAAAAAAAAATAATTACAACATGGAATGTGTAAATCTCGTAACATCGTCCAATGAGTCGTTGTCCCACACATCAAACGTGCTAAATAATTTCGAGCACGCAAAATGTGGAAAGTTGAAATCAAAATTTCATGTAAGTCTCCTCATATGATTCTTCGCTCAAAAGTATCGCAGATAACAGCGAATATAAAAAGTAACTTACTCAAATAAAAGTCAATTTGCATTAATATCATTTTACAGCATGATGATATAAATGAAAATGAGACATCACCTGATGCGGAAGGGAATTATTACGCCAACTGCGACACCTCGGTGTGGATGAGAAGCTGCGAGAAGGAAGTGATCGAGCCTCTACGATCGACCGAGATCACCGGCGCTATCCCCAAATGGCTGAAGGGCACCCTGCTGCGAAACGGCCCGGGCAATCTAAAAGTGGGCAATTACCGCTATCAGCATCTCTTCGACAGCTCTGCCTTGCTACACAGGTATATTTTTTACGCTACATCAAATAAAAAGTTGACAATTAAATCTTTCTATTGACACAAATAAATTGTGCAGATTCGGTATCGCGGACGGTGAGGTCACCTATCAGCGGCGATTCGTCCAAACTGAGGTGTACAAGAGAAACATGGCAGCTCAGAGGATAGTCTTCAACGAGTTCGGTACGAACGCGACGCCGGATCCCTGTCAGACTATATTCCACAGGTAAGTAAGAGTAAAAGAGAGAATGCGACGCGAATAGAAGTAATCTTGATTAAAACATGAAGGACCCCGCATGATTTATTTTATATAAAAAAAAGTTTTCGGTCAATTTGCTTGAATTGGCAATATATTGTATTCCTGTGTCTCTTCACAAATCGTGAAATAGTGAGAATCCGCGAAAACTGCGAAAAATCATACGTTGTCGTCAAAGTTTTTTAGTTCTGCATGGAAACATTCCGATTTTTTGCAAGTTCTCTATAAAATTATTTTTCAATGATTTTTCAGAGTGGCCACAGTGTTTAATCCGAACAAAACACTATCCGACAATTCCATGATTTCGGTGTACCCGTTCGGTGACGAATATTACACGTTCACGGAAGCGCCGGTGATGCACAGGATCGATCCGAAGAATTTAGAGACGATAAACAGGGTAAATGTTCTTGTCACATATCTTTTGCTTTAAACTTAAATGATCAACTTCAGCTTCTAGTATCAGCTTTAATTTTTAATATCAGTTTGCGGCATTCATAATAAATTCTAATAGCAAAAACTATTTTAGGTAAATGTGTCCGAGCACGTTAACATCGTAAATCACACCTCACATCCTCACGTTATGACCGACGGTACGGTTTATAATGTAGGACTAAGCGTAACGCCGACGGGGCCTCGATACAACGTCGTACGCTTCTCTCCTAGTAGCGCGACTGCTGGTAAGACATTCTTTTTTGTAATATAATATAAAGAGAAATTTTTGAAAGAAGAAACTGGGATGTTTACTGCATCAATGGCCAAGAAATTAATTTTAGATATTGAAATACTTAAATTATAATTTTAAGTAGTAAAATTTATGTTTATAATATTTTAAATTAAATAATTAAGTCTTTGGTAAAGTCGAGTGTGATTATCTCAGATAATTCTGGAAAAGAAAAGGAACGCTCCATGTTCGATCAAGCGACGATCGTGACCAGTGTGCCGAGCAGGTGGATGCTGAATCCATCATACATGCACACCTTCGGCATCACCGAGAATTTCTTCATCATTGTGGAACAACCACTGTCGATCTCTTTTGTCAAGATGACGATGAGCCACTTCAAACAAGAACCAATGATCAATTCCTTTAAGTGGCACGATAACGAAAGCGTACGTATTTATTGGAAGAATTAAATCGTTAAGCAAGTTAAATCGTCATTACCAAATTAAGGCTGATGTTCCCGTTACTATTATAGACTCTCATCCACGTGATCTCGAGGGAGACGGGCCAACTGGTGAAGACGTTCGTCGCGGAAACGTTTTTCTACCTACACATTATCAATCAGTTCGAGACTCACGACAAGGAGTACGTCGTTCTAGACGTGTGCTGTTATCGTAACCCGAAGATGTTAGAGTACATGTACATCGACGCGATGAAAGTAAGATATTCGTGAGATCGAGACGCGCAGCGAGAGTGCAATGATGCTTTTATTCTTAACGGATATTTATATTAACGCAGAGTATGCATGGAAACCCCGATTTCTCGAAGCTGTTCCGCGCCAGACCGCTTCGTTTCGTACTTCCGATGAAGAAACCGAGCTCAGACACGCTACCGGAACACAATCTCATCGCGACTAAAACGGTGTATCAGAGCATGGAGGTGTCACAGAGTGTCAACGGCGAGTCTGTCGATCGTAGGCCGAGCTATGACATCAACAGTAATGCGGACGAAATTGCGTACGACAGCAGAGCTAAGTACTGGCAAAAAAAGCACAAAAACGCTCTGCTGAGGAAACCGACCGCTCACCGACTTCACGACGGCAGGATTTTCGTGAAGCCAGAGCTTCTCTGCGATGTCGGTTGCGAGACTCCGCGGATAAACACGGATTTACATCTCGGCAAAGAGTATCGGTACTTCTACGCGATCTCCTGCGATATGGACCTGGAAAATCCTGGAACGGTAAGTGCATTCCACGAGCTTCTAAAGTAAAGTATATACCGCGCGTATTCGATTAAAGAGCTGCGAGTCTGTGCCCTTGTTACATAATTTAATGCGACGAGATGTCTCAAAGACATTTCACTCTGTAAAAATAAAATTAAATTTTATTCGCAGCTTATCAAAGTCGACACCGTCCGAAAAACCAAGAAATTATGGCAGGAAAATGGTATTTACCCAAGCGAACCAATTTTCGTGCCGAATCCCAATGGAAAGGTATCAACTGAATATGCCGCGAGTATTTGCTCGAAAAAATAAGAGAGGAGCCAACTTACTTTTCTTTTGCTCTTTTTCTGTTTAGAACGAGGACGACGGGGTGGTTGTGAGCTCGCTCGTCTGGGCGGAGAAGGAGACTCAAGTCGGTTTGTTGATCTTGGACGCTGTAACATTTACGGAAATCGCGAGGGCTACCTTCAACACACCGGGACCAGTTCCTAAATGTCTGCACGGTTGGTTCAGTCTGGACAAGTAACCGAATGCGAAAGAGACTGTCAATCAAACAGTATATCATTAAATTAAGCGAAAGAAAGACTCATTTGAGCTCTTTCGAGGATTTAAAGTATTAAGGACTTAAAGTTTAAATTCATCATGACGTTATAAAAGGCGTTACGATGCAGAAAATTATTTTTATCGCGAAGAAATTTTTCCTTTCCTGCTCCTCCCATCTCTTTTAAAATAAATTAAACATAAACATAAATATAAATTAAATATAAATATAAATATAAGTATAAATATGCTGATTATATATACATCTTCATCTATCAACTCTTCAATCTACCGGTTACCGAGCCGATAGCGAATCTTGAATCACATTTTCACTATCTTGATGGATCGAACACAATCTTTCATTAATTTTCTCCATTTTCTTCATATTCTCTTTGTGAATGCGCTGATAATTATATTGTCAAACACACGAATGTAATAAATTATTTAATGTCTTTCCACGATGCACAATTATTTACAATCGGCGGACAGCATCATCTTATACGATGCAATAATACGCGGCGTAATAAATGTATGTACAATCTAACGAGATGAGAATCTAGTCGAATGGAATGTAAAATGTAAAATATCTTAAATATCGTTAAAAATTTTCGCGGTCCTTCGAGTGGCGATATATGAAAATGACGTTAAAGCCATTCTCTGGACTGTAGCAATAACAATTAATACAAAGTTCGGTGTAGACAACATCGTCTCAATTGCACTATGAGAAACTATCGGAATAGTAACTGTGATATACATAATCTTATGCCTGTAACATCCTAATTAACCTAGTAGTAAATTAGAAGAAAACACTCTTCATTCTGATACATCCGAAATGCGACTTTCGTTAAAATATAATTCTCGCGATAGATGTTCGTCAACGGGATTTTTAATGACACAAGCGAAAGCCGCACTCGATTTTCAAGTCAAATAATTTCTAAACGTATTCTATATATGGAAATAAACGCAAACTAGAATTGTTCTTAGAAGAAATCCAATGTGCAACCGAGGCATCTTTCTCGCCCCGCTTCTAAATTAAGTATCGTATAGAGAATGGAAGAGAATTGCTAAGTTCAATCTACAACGCGGTGATTTTCTCGCGTACTTGATTTGACAATAATTAAAAATTATATTAATAAATAATAGTCTGGCACAACCATGGTCAGATACTTACTAGCTAGAGGAGCGTCGATGTAGGAGTCACAAATGATCTCGTACGTGGAATTATCATTAGGTCGAATTGTGCACGCGTTTCATCACACGAGGGAAGCGCAGCGTCGGCGTCGGCGTCGCCGTCGCCGTTGCTGCTTTTGGCACTACAAATCACTTTCGCTCCGTCGAGAGACCCGTTCAGCCGTTTAAAAAACTTACTTTGTCGCTTGTGACAGTAACGATATTATAGACTCGCGATTCATAGCGTATTTCGTAAGCGCGTACTCTCGGCTCGACCAAGATTCACAGTCTGGTTCCGGTCCAGACCTCGCGCGTCCATTCTCGTGCATCATGCAAACGTGTAAAAACACGCGCATTATCCTAATTAAAATATACAACGGGAAAACATACGTTCTCTCCTCGATGTTTCTCGATAAAACGATTTCCACGTAAAACATCTGTCGAGAAACGAATCTCATCTCTGTACGAATCCATCTATCTATCTATCCGGTAAAAATAATCTTCGCGCACGAACGCGACCGACGCGGACGGTCGTGTCACTTAATATCGTACGACATTATACGTTAAAAAAGAATAGGAAATTCCGAAACGGAGTCGCATCGCTTAATACTATCTCGCGCACTCGTGTCTTTCCTCGAGACTTTCGTTATTAGTGTTATTACGCTCACCTTAGGCTTAAGTACGAGAGAAGTGTTTGAGAGAGTGTCGTTACGCGTTAAACTAGATCTACACATCTATCGTACCGCTTCAAATTGAGTCAACTCATACGATGAGCTGTTACGACGAGCGTTACGATCGCTTACGATGAACTTTACACGATAGACGTAGTTCGGGCTTTACTCGCGCATAACGGCTAACGCATAGTCGCTTTCGAATCGCGCGAATGACCAGGAAGGGAAAGAAGGAGGAAAGGAAAGTATTAGATAAAACACGGCTCTCTCGCATTATTCGGGCCGCGTCACGCGACAACGGCAACGCGGCTATCACAATATAAGCTTTCGCTCGTCTCGACACGGCATAGCCTTCAGATTTTGTCCGTTTTCTCGCAGTCCACCTCGCAGGAACCTATAGAATTTATCGCGTTGATGTTCTTGTTGCTCTCTATGTCCGTCTCGCTTCTCGCCAGGCTCGAGATCGACTCGGCGATGTGCGACTCGAGATGCATTGGCAGGATACCGGCGTTCGCATCCTCGATAGCTTTCCTCAACTGCAAAATAAAATCCATTTGAAATTTTATGAATTAAGTGACCTTTTATAATTTTTATTCCCAGTCAAGGCATATATCTGTCTGTCAATTTTCAATTGGGCGATCTTGACTGGAGAACATTGTATCATCGTGCACCGTACCTCCTTCAGTGCGACAACTCCGACCAACCTGCCGATGGCCGTTACGTAAGCGTGATTCACGCCGACCATGCTGAAGAGACTGTGAACCTTCAGCAGGGACGTTCTTTCGACCAGCTGAAAAGGAGCCGGGTCGATGTGGCACCTCGAAAAATCTACCTCGAGTGCCATCTCGCTCTCTTCCCACCGTTTTTGATCTTCGGCCGACATGTCTATCACTCTCTCTCGAGGCTGATTAACACGTACAAACGTTATTGATATATTGCATTTAGAGGAAACGACGATGTTTGCTCACCAATTGTACTTTCTTCGATGTCGCCGGACTCGGGGCCAGCATGGGCGTGTGGGACTGCACATTGATGGCATCCTGACTCTCCCTGGTACCCAACTCCGGATCGGGATCCACGTCTTGCAATGTGGCGGATTTGCGAAAGATTGCCTCGAACGCCAAACGAATTCTGCAACGAGCACTTTTACATTAATAATTATTTTCCATTTTAATGTTTTAAATTTGATTGTATATCGTACATCTGGAGAGCGTATTTCTTGTTTTCATTATTTTCCATGTTCTATTTTATATTATTTAATAATTTCACTAATACACTTATTAAAAATACGTTTTAAAACGCTTGAAAAAAATGAAAACAAAAGGGTTTAGTGATATATATGTTTTCTTGTAAAACATATTGAGATAAAATAGATAAATGTACACCGTATATATTTTTCTATGTAAAAAAAACTGTTATACTATAGAGAGAATAAACCCGACTCGCCTGCTTTCCGCGCCTGTAACTGTCGTATAGGGCGTCACCGCCGGGCTAACTAACGGGCTGAATCCCTTAAGAGTGAAAGAATTGGTCTTCTTCAAAATCGACTTCTTCGGTTGCGATCCGAACACCGGTGAATGGTACGTGTGCTGAAACATAAGAAGAATAATACGTTAATCTGTGCGAGTCGAGCAACGAAGAGGAACAACCACGATTGACGTCAAAGTCAATCCGCATGAACTCACATGATCATTGCCATTGTTTGGCGACATCGTTAGATCATTAACACTCTGCCGTTGCATCTTGAGAATGTCTGGTGCCGGGATAACCTCGAATCTCGAAGGCCTCCTCGTCCTCTCCTGTTCTCGCAGCTGTCGTTCTATTTCTTCGCGCGCTCTCTCCGCCTCCTTGTGCCATTTTTGCGCGACCTGGAACGTCGACGATAATTTACAGAAGTGAAGAATAAAATCGTCTAAGGTGTTGAAAATCTCATTTCACCTGTAACCTTCTCTCGCGACCGATATGCTTCTCGATAAGTTTGATTAACGCCAATCTCTGGATCGATCCAAGCAGAATCATGGAGTCCGGATTATCCACCAGCGGAAATCCACGTAGCTTGCGATTCTCCTTCAGTATTTCTTTCAGCTTTTGATAGCTGATGCCGTGCCATATGTACTTTACGTCGCGGACCATGAAATCCTCCACGTAAACATTGTACATTCCTACAGTAATTAGTTTCTTTTTATCACGTACCCTGTTTTCGATGTAAAATCCGCAACGTAGCCGCAAAATTACGACTGTATAATTACCTTCCCATTTATTCCGAACGAAATGCTTTGCGGAGCAACAATATAAGCGTACAATATTAATTCGATTAATTAAAGAGAAAATAAGTCGGGTTAAAGAAGATGTACCTGAACTCGATGGAAGCAGATCGGGCAAGTAAGGCAATTTCTTGATCAGGATGATGCTGTCGTATATACTAGGCTGCAGAAGCGCGGCGATGGCGTTGCTGATCAGCACCGCTATCATTATGGGCACGATGTGTGTGATCTGACCGGTCATCTCGAAAATGATGACACTGACGGATATCGTGTGCGTCACCGCACCGGAGAATGCGGCCGCGCCCACCGTGGCGTATCCACCTAAATGAGGCAATTTTACGACATGAGTCTAATTCTATCCTCAATTTTACGTCTCCTCAAACTCAACTAAAATTGCACAACATAAATATTAACCCAACGATTCCATAATTCATTTAGATGCTATTTTCATCATGGCCGACACATTTCAGAAATATGAGAAACATCTTTATCGATTATTCGCAATGAACTATATAATAAAATGACTTTATTTAAGCAAGTTTTCTTCATTTAACGCAATATAGTCTCATTTCAAGATTTTCACATTAAAACTAAAGATATTTTCAAATAAAAAATTCTCTTTTTCTATGTAGCCAGTTGTATGTATATTCAATTAAAGACCTGGTATTATTGGTGTAATTACTCCGCCATAACGCACGCCAGTGGGAAACCAGAGAGCCATAGCTTCACCGACTGCTCTACCCAGCGCAGCACCGATCTTGAATACGGGAATAAAAATTCCAGATGGTACCGGCACCGTCGAACTAATGATGGAAAAGATGAACTGAAACCAAAGCCCGTTTCCCTTGTTCTTATTGTGTAATTATATTTAAAAATAATCACGATCAAGCAATCGTGTGAAAAAGAAATCATCTTCTTACGGTAACTAAAACGAAACTAAGGAGTCCGCTGAAAACGTCGGTGTACGTCGTTGACCAGTGCTTCACGACACTCATCTCCTCGACGCTGAGATTCTCCTTCGTCCAAGTGAAGTTAGTGAAGAGACCGTGAACTTGATCGTGCGTGTTCAGATCGCCTGCCATGAATTGACCGAGCCCAAGGGGAAACGACACGGACGAGACTAGCAGGGACACGATGCCGGGATACAGAAAACGACTGAAATTAACAGCAGTCGTTTCTCGATCACAACCCCATGGAGAAGACATTTGCATTGCAATTATCAGAAAACAAATCTGATACATAATTTCGAGTGACTTACTTCTTCTGTAGAAAACTATTCATGCTCTTGTTCTTCCGCATGAAGATAACGTATTGCCTGTGCAGCCAGACGTAGAAGGCGCCCAACAACCCGCTGCCGACGCCGATCAGGGCGAAGACAAAGAGTTCCTGCGGATCGAAGGGGAATTCCATGGTGAAGCTGGTGGCGAACATCGCCGTGATGGTCTCCTCGCGCTGGAACCAGATCGCCAGCAGACGGAACATCGTGGCGCCGCAGACCGCGGTGAAGAAACCGCGCCAATAGTTCCTGACCGCGAAGTACACCGTGGTAACTTCGATGCTGAAGAGAACGCCGCCGATCGGAGCCGCGAAGCAGGAGGCGACGCCCACCGCGCAGGCTGCGGCCAGCATCTCGCAGTTCCTACTCTCGTTCTCGTAAATGCCCTGGAAGCTCGTGACCAATTTGGAAAGCAGCGTTGCGACGATGCTGGCGATGTGCACGAACGGACCTTCCTTGCCAAGCGGCAGCCCCGAGCCCAAGGTCGCCGTTAAGCCGATCACCTTTGACATATCACGATCTTTATTGCCCCTGTCTCTATTTCGTGAGATTACGACGCGTTTCTTTTAAGATCCTTAAGGAAAGTTGTATAATCCAACTTTGATTCGCGCACGCACGCGCTCGATCTTAAAATTAATTTTCTCAAGCTTTAATTTAACGGGTGGATTAAGTTTCTCCGAGCGTGATTAGCTAACCTTGGCAACCAAGGTACGGAAGGTCAGATATTCCTTCAACGCCACGCCGCGTAGAATGGTCTTCATTTCCGGAATGCCGGAGCCTATACTTTGCGGTGCTACGATATGAACGAAGCCCGCGCTGAAGAGAATGAGGCACACCGGCAGAGACACCCAGGCCAGGTACTTGAAGGCCGGATGCGACGTAAGGTCCTGATAGAGCCATATCCTGGCTGGTGAAACGAGATCATCGTTAATGTGCCATATCAAAGACTTGGCGTTATCTTTTAATATTTTTGCAAAAATCTTTTTTAACTGGCTATCGACACACTAATCATTCGCAATTATCACAAATTAGAATTTTACAACCATAATTTGTAATTTGCCACACATCAGAGATTCGCAACTTTTTATCTTTCACGAGAATATATAAATAATAAAATAATGTTTTAATATTTTACAATATTTAACATATACTTTATATATAAATATTTTATAATTTTTTTATCAAAAAATTTGGTAAATATTCTCACTTAACAAATGTAAAAATTATTTGACATTTCGCACGCGAGGGTGTGAAATTTATTCCCGAAAGCAAAGTAGACTGACCGTTATTGCACATGGAAATGCCACGGTCCATGGCGTAACTGATGAGTGCCATAATGATGCCGAGGAGGGCAAGGAAAATCCAGTCCTCACCTAACCGGGCGCCGGTGTGTTTCCAGGCGAAAGCCAGCAGGGCCAGCAGCTTTCGACACAGAGGACCCCGCCTGGACTTCCGCAGATCCTCTGCTCTCGTTTTATCATACTTCCGCCTCGCTTTGTCATGATACTTGAGCTTGCGTGCTTCTTCCTTCGCGTACTCACCCAAGTCCTTCGTGTAGCGACCATACATCTGGAGGCAGCCGATTCCGCGTCATTTCGAACGCTTGGTTGCTAATTAATCGATTCACGCGCAGACGAGAGACAACAGACTCGCTCGTTCAAATTCTAGACCCACTTTTGGTCCATAATTCGTATTCATAGAATTAGATAGAGCTTTAATTGAGACTCAATTTGCCTTGACATTGTAAAATATAATTTTCGTCGCATTCGACATTTATAACATTTCCTGCGTATATTTATGTCAAATTCGGAGTTTAATTCAAATTTTCCCTTAGTTTTAGAGTTACTCTTAATGTTTTTGTGACAACGGCGATGTTTCAGAGCATGCGACAGTGTGATGTAATACGATTTTACCTAAAAGTCCTATTTGCTTATAAAGACGACGTATTTATATATTCTCGTTAAGAAATTTAAATTCTTCTTATGAAAGAACGATACAAGACAAGCGGGAACGCAAATATATATGTTAGCTGATTGCCAATGAACTTTTAATGTCTCTGAGGTCTCGAAAGAGTGAGCGATATTACTCGAGGAAAATTAATTTTAGATGTATTTAAGATATATACGTAACTATTTTTATGGAATTATAATAACATACCATTCAAAAATTTCATGCAGAAATTATATGATAAATTATGTATTATTGCTAAGAATTATAACTGCATTCAACATACAATAATTATCATCAGCCAAATTATATTAAAATAATTTCGCTGTAGTTTAATGTAGCGCATTCTGTTAATCAATCACATCGTATCTTTTCGTCCTACCACAAGATCTGATTATTAAGTATTCAATTCATACGGTTTGTCCGATATGGTTATCGGAAAAAGTCATGCTAGATAATTGCAATCTATTCTAGATAATTACAATCTTTTAGAAAAATAAAAGAAATGACTCAATATCGTTCGCATAATTCAATATTGTTCAATATAGTTTCGTCTCGACCGCCTCGAATATCGTAAAATTGACTTGTTGACCAAAGTTTGAGTGTGACTCGTGTTTTACACGTACCTATTATTAATCTAAGAGATCTAATAGAAACGTTCGGCTTCGATAAACTTGCCTCCAAAGATAAACGAAGTTGTCGCCAATTGTTGTTTGCAATTAGAAATTGTCGATCAGTTTAAGTACTTTCTTACGGCGCTAATCGACGAGCAGAGAAATATTAAAGATGCGAAAGAGCGAAACTCCCGCGTTTTATTGATGATTTAATGATATTAAAACGATCGTTTCTCTAAACTGAAAATCTGATATCATACGATGCGAAAACTATCTATCAAAACAAGCTTTTATCTAATCCAAAAACCGGTCACGTCTCGAGCGATTAATATTCGATAAAACGATAATAAAAATTTCTTGGCAGACAGAAGATTGCTGCGATACGCTAGTCTAAGAAACGGCTGGTCCATTAGCTGTGTTCTCATATTCACTACCAGTACTGAAAATCTATAGTTTACGTCACGTATACTATACATTTTCAGTAGTGACAGTGAATTTGAGAACAATGAGAATACAGCCATTATAATTTTTCAAACGCCGTCGGATCCATTTATTTGTTAATTTAATATAAGCGTATTACGAAAAAAGAAAAGAGTTAATGTCATGCACACTAAAAATATAATATGTCGTTGCATAAACATTGCTACGTCACAATTGTCTACACGCTGATTATCATCGTCTTCACACGAGCGACGATAGATATAACGAGCTATCACCAACGCGGCGCGGCGCGGCGCGGCGGGCGGTCCCTAAGAAACAATTGTACGAAATTGTTTGTAATGGCCGTAATGCCGGGAAAACTGTGCGCTCTCGCGTCGAGACCGTCTTGAACAGGAAACCTATACCCCGTCGCGGGATAACGGTAGGATTAGAATGCGAGCGTGCACTTACAAGGTAGTTGTCGTTACAGACAAAGTATGCCCTGTTCAAGACCAAGGTCGGCAGGGAGAGCTGGGCGAGAAGTTTCACGGATTGCATCGAGGATTCGTCACTTGGATTACTCGACTCACGGAAACTCGAATTTAAGCTTAAAGATGCGTCTCTCCTCGGCTTCTCCTCCATTTCGTACATCACTGCACGATCGTATACCACCTTCTTAATCTACATTCTGAAGTTTCGCTGCGAGATGTAGCCACACGCGGATAAATCTGATTTTTTTCTCGAGAAACTCGCGTCTGCTCGTCATTCACTTCCACTAAAAAGTGTGTTTTATTTCGTCGAAAAATTACCGTCTGATATCGCCTCATGGTCATTGAGCTCAGAAGTCATTAAAGAGTCATACAAATTTTTGAAACTTAATAAATCCCAAAATTCGATAGTTTCGTTTAATATGTACGATTCTTATTCTTCGTCTCTTGCGCATTCTTACGCAACGGCTACTTCGTGGGTAATAAATAAATAAATAAGAATAATTAACAAGGATTCAATTGAACGAAATAATGAAAAAGCACTGTGGAAGTACTCTACGTCACTTTTCTTTTGCTGTTTAATAAATTAACTTTCCGGTATCAACAAATTTTTAAATCGTCACCCAAATTTTCTATAAATTCCTTACGTATATAATACGTATGAAAGTGTCTGCGTTGTTTTTTCTACACCAACAAATTTTTAGATTCTCCATCACTACACGAATCTTATTTACGTTCTTCGAAATGTCATTCAAGAAAATTTTTCACCGTTTAGAGTACTGCCTCGCTAGTACACCAAAATTTTAAATCCTTGTGCTTCAATTTCAATTTATAATTTTGCTTACGTCTCCCGTAACTGTTTACGACTGTCACATTTTTATTTATGCAAAGTCCTGAACGACTTTAGCGGCTCGCGATAAACTTGCGGCAACGTCTGCGCGAATTTTCACGACTGTTTCGAGGAATTCCTTTTTTAAACAATAATTCTATGCATCTGTACGTGCGTACACACGAGCGCAAACTAAACGGCGACGTCTCGTGGATGTCTGCTTCACACCTCAGTGGGAATATTTGTTGAAGTTTGGCAACAGTCAAAATCCTTATTTTTAGCGTCGCCCAGCCAGCGTCGACAGGGCGAAATCCTATTGTTTATTGTCGAATAAGCTGCGCGACGTTTCACCTGAGGCCGCGTAAATTCACCTGATGCGCGCCCTGGTTTCAAGACGCATCCATCTTCTATCGCGAACTCACGCCCGTGCAACGTCACTTATTTCGAAAAATTCTCGAATCTGGATTTTGTCGCATCGCACGCATGTCGTACATATATATAATATATATATGTAAGATTTATTTGTTATACAGTGTGTCCCAAGATCTCGTTCGAAAATATACTTGGCACGACATTGCGCCTGTTATTTATTCGCCACCACTTATGTACCGTTTCCACTTTTTTGATAGACCTAGCGATCACTTATGTATTCGTAAGTTCGATACGCGACAACTCAGTTTATTTACCCGTCTGCTTCAAATTTATATTGTTCTCTAATCGACCGCCCAACGATCAGTCACGCACGTTATCAATCGCGTTTTAAGCGGGCAGAAAATAATATTATGAAGAGTAAGAACATCGATAAATATCTATGAGTGACGTTTCCTTATCACGATTATTTCGCGAATCATCTTTCTTATATGGAAAAAAGACCACGTGACATTATCTCAAAGATTATCTTGTAAAACAGGATCGAGCCTCAAGATAATCGAGTCTGTTTCGATCGCAACGTCAATGATCTCGATCTTGACGTGTGATACCACGATTCTGGCAGCGTCCCCGGGACTAGTTGACGATATAAATATGCGGGTGACAGATGCAGCACGCATCACGCACATCACACACGATTTCGCCGGGCGGTTACATCGCGACTCTCCTGTACGATTGTGCATTAAATCGCCGAGTTCGGTTTGAGATATAATACTTTCAGGATATCGGTTCGATTTAATCGCAGACCTAGAAATCTTTTAGTCTGACAATCGCGTGCTGTATTTTAATTTCCGGCGTACGAATGGAGGAGATAATGCCGATGAAATATTCAGTGGCGTTTTAATCGTGTGCGGGACGATCGATTTAAATATGAAGATGTCACGAGAAACACGAGATTAGATAAGATCGGGCAAGTTCGATTCTGTAGATTGAAATATAGGTGACATTTAAGAGCTGTCGACTACGCACATCGTGACCACGTTCCACTGGGCAATCGGCCCCTAATCCAATTTTAGGCTCCTAACCGATTGGCGTTACGGATAATGAGTATAGGCTCGAACATAAATACCACGCAAAACAAATTGCCCAAATTATTTAAATTGTCCATTCGTCTCGAACATTATAGCTATCCTAATTATTTTGCTATTAATATTTACTAATTATGTAATTAATATGACACTTGCGAATTACTGGCAGTACCAGAAAGTAACGCTAGGCATAAAAGAAAGCTAAGCCAAGCAGTGCGTGGATGCACCCGGAAATTGCACGATCACGAGGTTGCAGATTCAACCTGTGCTGTGTGTAATCTGCATATACATATACATATTACATATATATGTATCATGTATATGCATATAAACATAGGGTATGTGCATATGTGTGCGTAGTGGTAACACGAGGATCTCTTCATGCTGGTCACGCGTGCTCGATAAGCATAACGAGTCCTTAAGAGCTCATTCGCGCGCATAAAAGCGTTGCTTAGAAAGGCGTCGTTGCAAAGACCGCGCGTACTCCTTTGAATTATCAAGCTCTCCGTGAATTGATACGCGGGTGCACGCGATTACACGCGCTAATAGTATTTCCTGAAATCTGCCTCGGACACTTTGCATGAATAGCACAAGTCCAAGTCTCCTACTACGGAAAACCATGCGGGAATTTAGATATTTGACGTAAATTAAAGTATTACAAGACATCAACCAAACAAGATAATTAATATATATGTATAATTATAGAACGATTACTATTTATTGTTAGATAATAATTAAATTTGTTAAATATTTAACAAATTTGTGTGCAAAACTTTGCAACACGCGATTCGCTTCTCCATCACCGATTTTGCCTCAATTCAATCGCGTGCAGAAGGTTTTGCATTACAAGTACTTACAAACGTTACTGAAACTCCGCATTTACACCGCCGCGAATTGTGAAACAGTCGCGAGAATCGTTCGCGATTCGTTGGCAGCTGATCAACTGGTTAATTGCGATGACTAATGTGAATCGTTACCGCGCGCTATTAAACCATGCCCGTCGGGCACGCGGTCGCGTCACGAAACGCATTGTTTTCGCGAAATAACAGTCGCGAGCGTCGAGCAATTTTCAATTTGTAGCGAGATATGGAAAAGAGACACCTGTCGCTCGTATAATACTTGACGGATTACCGCGGTCACTTAATATCACGCCGTGTTGTACGGAATTGCCGATAAATCGCAAACGTCCCATCTATTCCGAACCTCAAGTAAATCGTAAATTTCGCGACGCGAGAACACTGTAAGTAAGCAAAATTATATGAAAAATTTATATTAACAGTTTCTGACGCATTTTTCGTAAGTATATTTTATAATAAATATTTTACAAAGAAGCGTAAAGAAGAGAATTCTCGCGACTTCTCGCTGCAAATAGATCGGTGCTCTTCTCAAGTTACACAAACATTTTTAATCGATTAAATTTAGTATCTCTTTCGTATGGTCTTCTCGTATTTTCACATGGAACAAAAAAGAAGAAATTTAGATCTTTTCCTCCAGATAATTTCACGTGAAAATTAAGATCCGCGCCGCGCCGGCTGGCGCTTCTAAATTTGTTTAAAGATTTCGACATGACCGGACACGCGACAAGGCCGATATTCTCCTGTGTGATACGCGACGAGTCAAGGTCCATCGTAATACGCGCGCACATTCCCGCGCATGGGCAAATCATCTTTTTTGTAATGCACACCGACATAATCAACATCAAGCGTGTCTTGCGCTAATAATGCGAAATATAGATAACAAACACGTTAAAGATCGAATTTATACTACAGATATCTAGAAGTTATATCATAAAATCATAAACTTTTAGAAACACTTTAATAGTAAAAAAGAAAAGACGATATGTACGTTCCGCCTTTAATGCAGCCGTGTCCAACAACGATCTCGTGAAATCGTTTATTTGAAATGTAGTCTCGCCCACTTGGCAATTGTCCAAAGGTCGCGTCATTGGGTTCAGTGTTGCAGGATGGTTTACGGACCATAGAAAATCTCGGACAAATCGCCGGTTCGTATCATGGCATTGCATCAAAACTAGCCGAGTCGGCAATTTGTGAAATATTAATTCCCGATGAGAGAAACGTAGGACGTAAAGTGTATCGTAAAAGCAAGAAATATATTTCAGCGAATGTTTTGCGAAAATCTTTGACGTTTATTGCGTATATAAATAATTTGTATATATAACATCTGAGTTAAAAAAGAGTTTGACAATTATAAGGAGATACATCAGAGTAAATATTTGAAGATATAATGCGCGCAATAAACATTGACAAATCTTGGACTTATCTAGCAACAATAGTCATGGTTTAATTACAAATTGCTTCTGAGCAGTCATTAACGTTATCAGAAACAACAGTAATTAGTCGCGTAAAATACAATCGTAAATGTCTTCAGAGTTCGACTATAAATTTAAAAATCGTCACGTGAAATAAAATACACGACTTCGAAACACCGGAAAAACTAGCAATAAGGCGCGGTTTAGTGCGTCTAATAATAACTTTTAAGTTGCATGCTCATACAAGCAACATATTTTGCAGTCGCTTCAAGAGACAGAAGATCAATAGACTATAACTCACTGTCAAAAATGAATTGCTTACAATCGTGTTAATATAGTCGAAAGGATCGAACTCTTGCTGCTCTTCGTCCGCATTTGGCGGAGGACATGGGTAGAATGCTTGCGACGGTCTAAAAAAAGATTCCGAGTTCGTTTGTGTTTAATTTTGTTATTTAACATTTTGTTGTTGTGTTATTACCTAGGGAATAATAATAAACAGGATAGAACAATAGGTCATGACGACGTCAACGTGACGTTGAAGTGGAGTTAATTTTAACTTTTAAGTGATAATTAAATAAAGTCATGACGACGTCATCATGATATCATTGTGAGTTTTATGTTCTATCTGGATAATCTTATTCACCCGTTTTAAAATAATTTTAATTTAATATTAGAAAACTCTTGAGTTGTGTCTATTGGCTTCTAAATCCACATCTAATTATTATTTTTTATATTTTTTGTTCGAAAATTCTTCTATTGTACATCCAAATGGATTGGATCTCTTTTACTCGAAATTTTAGTGTGTGCTTCTCTACTTTCTGCGCTACCTCTGGAATCAAGGCGGAACATTTCGCGCAAATGTACCTGTGCGGCCGATTCCGGCGGTTTTCCTTTAATTTCGCCATTAGTCTTGTGAACTCCTCCCATTCTTTATCCACTTCTTCCTCGCTACCTTCCGGATGGTGTAGAGTCTCCTCTAGAAGTTCCTTCTTCGCGGTTTGACTCGCCATTTTTGCGCTGTCCGCTCGATCGCGTCGATTTCACGGATTATGCGCACCCACGCGCGTACGGTCGTTCGATATTTCCTCGTGATGCATTAACGCTTTACAACCTTCTCCCTCTTCCGGCGTGCATGTTAAATATGCACGTTCCCCATATCCATGTTCCCCAGAGAGTATTTCTGCGACAAACCGATCTCCTCGCGATACATCGAAATCGTAAAGTTCCGCCGTGTTTTTTTTCTTCCTCGTGTGAAACAGTCGCGGCAAAACCGAAACTGATTTGGAGCCTTTTTCTCTTCCGCGAGCTAGGGAGACGGGGAAATCGATGGGGCACCGTGACACTGACACCGAACACACCGCGCAGGGAGGAGGAACGTTGAACGTTCGAGAATCGCGAGCGAGAACTCGTCGCACACGAAGCCAGTGAGTCACACTGACAGCGAGACGAGAGAGCCGACCGTGCAATTCTCAGATAGAAGGCCCTATAGCCTGGTCCAATTTACGGACTCATTAGGCCGCACTGACAGCCGTCGACGTCGCACACGTACATACGACATACACGCGCGATTTTCCCCCCACACTCGGTCAAATTGCCCATTGTCAACGGACACCTCGCGTACGTCGCAGTGCTGGAAGAAATCGCCACCCCCCTTGTCAAACTCGACATTTTAATTCAATTTGAGTATATTTTAATTTTCAATTCGGGAGTGCAATAATACGCACAATTTTGCCGGTGAAAACAAACGTGTCATTCTGCATTTATTATACGTTAATCAAGGCAACCGTTTTAAAAGTTATATTATTTAAAAGGATGCCACGCTGATAATTGCTAATCAGTTCCAATCCTATAGTCAGTTATTGATTCGCCTCGTAGAGAGAAAGGGAGAGTTAAAAGATAAATTTGCGTGTAATTATATGTACATGAGAAAATTTTTTTGCTAAATTTACTGCGAGTAAAAGAAATTTATAAAAATTATGCGTTACGTGTTGTCGCGAATGCAGCTGATCCTATCAAAGTATCATCGCGAGAGGAATCTTATTGGCGGCATTTCTAGTAGCGACTGTACGAAAGCCGTATACGGCAATTGGCTACTTCCCTCGACGAGGGCTCGTAGGAAGCTGCCTTCAAAGTCATGAGTTATCATTGACCAAAATTACCACGTAATTTGATGGATGGTCGTCTTAACCAGCGCCGGCTGGTCAACTCCGATCAGTCCAATCGATGACATCTTCGATATATCTCGACATTACTTATAAATAATGGTTTTCTAATTCCCTGATATATTATATAAACGTTACATATATTTGAGCATAAGTTCCGCCAATGTCCGTCCGCAACTTTATAGTATATCGACGAAATAATTGGAAATGATCGCAGCTCTCGCGATTGATTCAAAAGAAACAAATGTCAAATTTATCGTTTCGCGGCCGGTATTAAGTTAATCTTGTATCGTCCGAAATATGATCGATATAACATGAATATTAAAGACGAGATATCTCGTTACGTACCTCCTCGCACGGTGGCCGAATGTCGAGTGATTTCCGAAAGCAAGGTGCAGATAATTAAACAAGAGCGGTAATCTGGCCGCTCGCGCGCAAAGCAAGATCTTTAACTGTTGACCGATCAGGCTGTAAAAATCGTTTGTTTGCTTCGTCGCCTTATTTCTACATCGGACATCGCGATGCAAAGAGATAATGCCGTGCGCTCAAAAGCCCCGCCGAGCGCGCAAATTTGCGCCAGCAAATTAACGTCGCGCGATAATGTACCTATTATAACTTCCGATACGCTTCTTTCGTCACAGCTTAACAAGACTTGCAAAATGTTTTACCGTGCACCGTGCTTAAGCGTGACAAGAAATTTGAAACGTGCCATGCGAGATCGTGAGAAGTAAGAAGCGGAAGAAAATAAGCGGCGATTTATTGATATCGTTAAACATTACCTGCGTTATAAAAAGTATAACTAATCCATTTAAATAATCCGGACGGACGGCGAGTATCGTTTATGTATCCTAGTTATCCGAAAGCAAGAAGTACAAAGACTAGACTCGTAAAAATACAAAATAAGCCCATATATACATGATTTTTAGCGACGCATGAAAGTCGATCCAGCAATTAAGTACTTTTGTACGTCATTAAGTCAAAAGACGTCAGACGGTGTCCGGTTCAATCTTCTGCGATTACGCGAAAATATAGAATTTCGTCGAGTTTTGCATATCCCCGTGATCGTATTAATGGATTTATCTGTACGCAGCGCGAGAGACTCGCGTAATATCCACATCAATTGCAATTGAGCAGAAGTATCATTGTGAGACGATTCGCGAAGAAGTCGCGGAGATCGAGCGTGTAAGCGCATTTTCGCTGATCGCGATCGCAGATAACGAATATCGAGCAAAGACGGGGCAATTAATCGTGCATGGTAATTAATCGCGATGACGATCTCTGAAAAGTTGACTCAATGCAAACCCGGGATAAATTCCTTCCGAGAACGAGCTGACCTCTCAATAATCTCCGCGAGTGATCAACGCGCATTTTGTATTCTCGCGAAGAAACGTATTGCAAGCATCATATTGTGCGACAAACGATACGTTTCATTCACGCATCATCCTTATGCTTCTCGCGGTATTCAAACATATTTACGTTACTTCTCGTATAATTTCCCCACAGGCTCGCTTTCGCGCGTGGAAAGTTCATCAATCATCGCAGTATTGTGCATTGCAATTGAATACTTTGATTTGTTATACTTGCTGTATTATACTTGCGGTTGCAGTAGATTGCAAAAAACGCGGAGTTGAATACGAATCGTATGTTTTTCATTAAATCGCAACGTATTCTATTATAGTGTGCGCAATTTTCTCACCGAGTAATAAAATCTTTATCTTCAGATTAAAAAGCACATTTCTGGTCATAAAAGCACAAATAAAAGATATAGAGTATTTATTATGTACACTAAAGAGATATATCAGTGCGTGTGCTTTATTCGACAAACATTAAAAAGGCGACTTCACGGGGTGATGTCGTACGCGTTAAGACCGCCATGGGAATGCAGAAGTCCCAGAACGCCACGGATGTCCCATGGGTTCCATGACCCCCTGACAGTGTGTTAGATCGCAGTGAATTAGTTAATGCGAGTCACATGGAGCGGCGATGAATTATTGTGCCCGCAATGCGTCAACACTGCAGACGACTGCATTTTGGATAGGATCGTTTGTCCAATTATTGAATCTTCCTTCCTGTTTAGCTGCGACGGAGAAATGAGTCATAATAATACACATACCGTCGGCTCAGCAATCCCTTTCACATTTTTTCTTCCTCCAACAGATTGCAGGCGCATGTAATTTGCAAATTTTGTCATAGGATGCAATACCAAAATAATTATTAAACGCGATGCGATAATTGATTTAACGTCTGATGATTAATGACATGAGTACAGATTATTTACACGCTAATTATTTAGAAAATTAAATATTATAATATTATACACTGTTAAATTCGTAGTGTCAAATTATACTCAATTTGAGTCATTTTTAACTATTCCTATAGGATATTATAGGAATCGCCACTGCTTTTACTTAATGTAAAGTTAATTTAACTAGAATAATGTTAATTTAGCTAAACCAATGGAGTTAAAATAGTACTGTTTTGTGATAAAATAACAAATTTCGACACAGTTACAAATAACAAAATATTATTTAACTCAATGTATTGGTTTAAATTTCATCCTTTAATATCTAACAGTGTACATATATACAATATAAATCCTAGAAAAGTCTTAATAATTCTTGCAAATGTTTTGCAAAATGTTCGCGTAGCTTTATTCTTTCAAAGAATTATATCTAATTGTAAGATATATCGATGAAGAAATATAGGTATACCTTGATTATTGAGTGTTCTCCGAACGGAGATTCGACTAAAGAGATAAGTCTAATTAACGTCGACTGTGATGCCATTAACCGGCGTTTTAATGACTCATGTATATATAGTTCTCTCTTATAGCAAGTTGTGTTTTATACCAATCCGTCGATCGTCTGTCTGAGTCAGAGTTATGCAAATTTTTAGAAACAAGTTTGAGTTCTATCTTCAACTTTATCATTAATAGTGATATCACATAACGATTTCGCGCAACAACATATTTTTCATTTAAGTCTTTAATTGCTCATACCCCTTGGATCGTGCAACGAGCCGCGTTATCGCGTAAAAAAATAAGATGGGACCAACGCCAACGTGTCGTTCTTGTCTGCTCGATAATGCGGCGACAAACAAAGCGTGCCGATAACTTCTGAACCTCCCGTGAATCTACTGATTTCGTCGGGCTGAAAAATATGCGGAGTCGGATCGGTCGTTTATCTCGCAAGAGGCAGAATATGGGTGAGTATATTCATTTTAAAAATTAATGCAAATTAAAAAAATTAATGTAAATTTTTCAAGAAAGAAAAATTCCGTCGTGTAATATAACAATAGGTTTAAATGAAACAATTATAAGAAAACAAACTTAGACTTTTAAGATTCACGCTCGTCGACAATCCATTAGCGCATGCGACGCTTCCAAGACTTCCGTAAAATCATCTTTCTTAAGACTGATTCTTTTCTTCGTGCACAATCGCTTACGTAGATTTCCTTTTCGAAATAAAGTCAATGGTGATAATTGCGGCCGACCTTCGCCGCTCTAGAAGCTCTAATTGCATTATACACGGCGCGGACACTTTAGTTTACAACGTTATTACAGAAGTATTCGCAATTATTTAATATATACTAATCAAAATATTACGTAATCACAAAAGATTTTTATGAATAAGTAAATATAGCAAATGACAAAGATATAAAGATGCAATGATATGAAATTTCATATTTTAATCATACGAGATTTTTAGAAATAACCATACGCGAGAGGCAAGAGAGATAATTGTAACTCAATTCACATTTAATATGTAAGAGGCTATAAAACGTCACATAAATTTCTAAATTTATCGACACATTGACCGAGAGAATGCAATATTGCGATTGTAATTCACATCTCGAACACGGCATACATTCGCGCGAGGTAATCTTTTCGATCATTCGACGGGATAGAATACCAATTTTGTCAATGAGCTCTTAAAGAGAAATCTTTGTAACGAACGCGGCGAGAAAACCAGTTTCATTGCTGTTTAGAAGAGACCTGTAACAAAAGTCTTTCGACAAAAAATTACTATAGGACAGACCATCCTTAAAACCGGATTTCACGAAGCAAATTAATTTTTTGCCCTGTTTGTTTCATTAACTAGCTTTCGATTCTGAGAAATTAACAGCGAACATTAGCATTTATAATCTTGTCCTCTTTTGACTGATAACGCAAACTCAAGTCAGACGCCGTGTCTATGCGACACAGTCGCCTGATAACCCTGTTTACTGCTTTCGAACGAAAAAGCAAATACGAACAGCAAAATACGAAAAGAGTTTCTTCAAATAAATCTTTTAAGTTCTAAAACTGACTAATTATATATAGGGATATATTGATTTTAAACGAATATTGGTAAAGAAAAAGTTTACATGTAGCTTAATTTTTATATACAATATTATTGAAAGATATATACTTGCATGATATTATGTGCATATATAATATACATTGTACACACATTGAAATCTACGCTATAAACATAAAACTACGCCATCAATATAATTTTTATAAAAAAATAATACGTTCGTGTTTTGTATCAATTTATTTATTTATGCGCACAAAATCTGTTAAAAAAAAGTCACGTGCAATGTGCAGGTGAAAAAATATGTAATTAATATGCGTAATGCTTATAAAACAATGATCTTGAATGTTTGCGTGTTTTGCGATGTATTTGTTTCCGATAATCTACCGAGTTCCACATTATCGATGACACCCACTCGCAAAGACGTAATAACCGTAATCGAGAACGAGCGGGCAAGTCCAAGGCCGTCATCATCATCGACCGGCGATCAAACCGTAGCTCTGGTTATGTCATCGTAACGAACATCGTGTCCGCTCAAATCATCGAATTGCATACGTGAACTGATTTGTCTCGGCATAAACATTATCCATACAACTCTGAGATTGATATAATCGGCTTTTATAAGTCTTACGTCAATATAATCTCGTTAAGATTTCAGATATTTGAGAAAGCGATCGTTCCATAAAGCACATACATGAACATTTTCAATTGGATGCAATTCGAGTAAAAAATAAAATCTTACATAACGTTTGTAAATCAGTATCAAAATTGATGTATTTATTGTCACAATAATGAGTGCTTGGTCAACGAATATATAAATCAGCATTTAATTAATTTTCGATTTTTTTTCATACTTCATATTATAGGATTTTAAAAAATCGGTAAACGATAAAACATAAAAAATATCAGATAATTTGTGAAGCTCTTCGTTGATAAGTAAAAAATTAAGTAGATTTAGGAACGAGTTTCATCGGTCGAACGCTCATGTGTTTAGCGACGTCTTCCGAAGCCTCTAGTTGGTTCGGATGATACGTGATTCCGCCATCCATGTCGACCTTCTTCATGTGCTGCCTTTCGGGATCGCCGGCGATCAGGACCGGCTTCTCGCCGGAGGAGGGCAGACTTCGCAGCTGTTTGAGCAAAGTCGTCAATCTGTCTTTCGATCCAGGCGCGAAGGCCTCCGGGTTAATGGCCATGAAGCATTGCCCGAGATCAGCGACCTTATCGCCGGTCTTCCAGGCGCGTATATTCGGTCCGAAATGACTTCCGGTTAGGATACCGCAGAGTATCTCGACCATTAGGCCCAGACCGTAGCCCTTGTACCCGGACGTGTGCTCCGCGCCACCGAGAGGCATCAATAAAGAAGCTTTGAAAGCCTCCTCGGCATCGCGAGTCACTTTTCCGTCAGATCCGAGCGCCCAGCCCTCGGGGATATTCTCGCCCTTCCGGATGGCCAGCTCAATCTTGCCCAGAGCGACGGCGGTGGTTGCCATGTCGAGAACGAACCCGTCGCCATCGCAGGCGGCCATGCCCACGGACAAGGGATTCGTCCCCAGGCCGGACTTGGTGCTGCGCGTCGGCGCCATCAACGGGCTCGTGTTGGTGCAGGTGAAACCGATCAGGTCTTGCTCCATCGCCATCATTGTGTAGTAACCGCATATGCCGTAGTGATTGGAGCCGCGCGCCGCCACCATGCCGATGCCGAATTTCTTGGCCTTCTCCATGGCGAGCTCCATACAATATTTGCCGACCACTTGACCTAGCCCGTTCTTCCCGTCTACGAGGGCTATCGCCTGAAAGTAGTGACGCAAAAGATCTCCTAGATGTAACCGCAAAGTCTATACAGTTCTTAAAGACTCTGGCAAGTCTGGTGGAAGTCTCTTGGAGTATTAGCTTTGTTTTCGCTGTGTTTTGTAATCTTTTCGAAATTTATTTGCTTATTAAAAATAAAATCTTTAAACGTGAAGCTTTGATACCGAGATTGCGTTTATTGCGTTTGATTCGCTAAACATGCGGCACGTATCACGCTTGACGCACTCGAATAAAGTTACTTATTATGCACGTAAGCGCATGTATTTTTGACGACACCTGTAATTCTCGCGAGTAAAGATACCGCTTCGAAAAGTAATTAGAGCCGCGTTAATTAGCGCCCGCGCGTTTATTGCCGATCGCCAAATTACCGGCGCGTCTATCTAATAAATTACCACACACGTGCTTCCGACCATGCCGGCGATTATCGCGACGCTATTCTAAAAAGTAATTACGACGGCGGTAATTAGCGCTCGCGGTTTGTTGCCAATCGTCAAATTGTCAACTACATTCGAAAAATTTCCGTTCCATTTCAGCGAAGGTAACGCGAGTGAATCTGCATATAGCGATTCTGTTCCGAGTCGAGCATGTACAGCATAAAAATAAAACAGATACTCAGATACTGACACAAAACAGCCGCACGCGCAATTACAGTCGCTTAATAATTATAGCCGATCGAAAACGCGATAAAGGAAACATATGTAAGGTTCACTAGTCGGCGACAAATGTATTTGCCGGCGAAGAAAGTAAATCCTATTAATCAGGGAGACGCGTATCTTATCGGGTCATCAGTTGTTAAGATACGAAGGCCGATACAACAAGAAGAGAGAAGAGGAAGGGTGTCCCGTGTATCATTACCGTGGAATGTAAACACCATTTTTTTTATGGTACATATCGTGTATGTACAGCCTCTTTAATTGGCACGGCACTCGAAAAAGGCATTTACGTCACTGGTGACATTCGCGCCGCAATCAATTGATAACGAACTATGGCTTCACGTACGCGAAAGACGGAATGATTACAAAATTTCGAAACGAGCGCGTGACGAGTGAATTATAATAGTTAAAGGTTCTCTTCTCGCGATATTCAAATTCCACCAGCAGCACCGAGAGAGAAAGAGAGAGAGAGAGAGAGAGAGAGAGAGAGAGAGAGAGAGAGAGAGAGAGAACCATTCGAACCTGAAAATCGGTAATGATTTGCGGCCGGGCGGCGGGATCAGTGATCCTGTTCTCGATATCCTGCACGTACATTTGCATCCGGTTCATCCCGTGGCTAAAGTGACCTCTGTAGTCCGCTGTCATCAGATGATGACCAACGACGCGCGCGTCTTCCAGCGTGGTGCCGGCTTTGCGCATACATTCCTCGATGAACCTGATGATCTCGTCCTTAGGGACGACCTTCTGGTCGCGGTCCTGGCATCCGGTGGACGTCATTCTGGTGCCGGCGGTGACAGTGCGCGCGCGCGATGGCGAACTACTCGTCAAAAGTCCCAATAAACGACTGAGCGTTGCTCTACGAACGACAGTCAACATCTCGCCAGTGGTTCTCTCCGTCTCTCGACGATCGCACGACCTCGCTTTATCACTCGGTTCACCTTATCGAGGATGGGTAGCTAATTCACTTTATCAAATCGTACTAAATCCTGCGCATGTATTCGTTGCCCTAGTCCCTAGTCGCGATCTATTTACTTCACGTTATCTCTTATCGATCGTGGCGATATACAGAGATGTGTGATTATCTTCAAATTCCTCTTCAAAAGTTCGATTTTAGTGATAATGAATTGATAAGCACAAAGCACTGGCTGTATGATGTTAGAAAGACGATCGATGCGACTTTTGTTCCTTCTTCGACGTTCACGCAGAAATAACTCTCTTTCTTTCTCTCCCCTCCGGTTCCATGTATTTTCAAGCTTCTCTACTTCGTTTAAACTAAGCGCCAGCCTACACCAGACGAGTCACGTGCTCGGCGCTACGTTTGCCATTACGCGTCAGCGATTACAGGCTCGAGCGAATCAATGTTCTCCACTTGCAACTGCAACGATTCCCTTTCACGCACAGATCGAAGTCTCTTCTGCGAAGAGACTATGCGAGCGATGCCAACGTTTCTCTTCCAGGAAGGAGTCGTGAGAAAGAAAATACTTTGTATACTTGCTTTGTGTGTAAAATATAATGTTTGGCAGCGTGTCTGTACTGTGTTCGCTCACATTGCACCACCGACATTGGCGTTGCCTATAGTCCAACATCGGCGAAACCGTAACGCCTCTGTTGGCGAGAGCTTCAAACGCCGTTATTGTTGTTAAGATAAAAGTTACCGGGAATAAAATTAATTGAAACCACCACAAAACGTCTTTTTCAGTCGTGTACGTTCAAAATTCGTTCAAACCGAATAAATATCGATAATTTTATATTTACATGTATATTGTACAAAATTTAAAATAAATTTTTATTTTGAGATCGACAAGGAAATATTTATTGTTCTTTAGAACAATTAAACGATTAACGATTATTGTGTCGTATTAAGCACTCTTCATACATATGTTAGACTTGCGCTGATTTGCGCAGATATCCGCGGTTATTTTACAGCACGGTGTCATTATCGATAGATTAGAAAAAAGGATGATTTCTTTTTTGTGGATTTCCTTCAAGGATTAGAAAAATGTATCGTTATTGGAATATATATTAAATTACATATAATATAACATATTATATAACATATTGATATATGTTGCAATTATAGCAACATAACGGGTGCCATGGTATCGAGAAGCAAACACGTGCACGTTTTGACGTTTGAACGTTGCAAATCGATTGTTGAAGCATTGTATTGCGGTCGCATATGCGATATTCGTCCCGCAAGACCAATCGTGTATTCCTGATTCCGAAAAATTAGACCGCGCGCATGAATCGAAGCGTCGCGAACGAAATGCAAAAAGAAGTAGCGCGACGTTCGAGTTACATAAACAAAGACACGTATTTTTCTCGAGATGCATGCGAGATCGACACGGTCCACTCACGTCGATCGCGCACGCGGTCCGATTACACGCGGATCGCCGTTTTATGCAATCGCCGCGACACCAGACGTAAGGAAGAGAATAAGTTGAACGGGGCGCGCGTCACGCGAAGCCGCGATCGATTCGACGCGTTCGTTTCTGCTCCTCTCAGTTAAATCCGCCTGCAATCCGACTCGTAGAATCTAGCTTGAAGAAAATCCTTGAATGTGCGTACAATGTGCGTGTGCCAACAAAAAACATTGCTGCGTTAAATGACGTCGACGGGAACCGTTACACTTCGAGCGACTGTGATTTCCTCTAAATGACTAGATCGATCGCTTGACGGGATGTATCGTTTCGCGACTGCAAGAACCTTTTTCTATTCTTTCGACCTTCGGTGAAATCTTGGCTTTTCGCCGTTTCGCAAAACTCGCGTATTATTATACTACTTCAACTTTTTTGAATTTTAATCGCGATATGTCGCAATTCAAGAACAAAAAGAAAGAGAAAGGATCGCAAGCTGCAACCTTCTGCAAAATTTGTTCCAGTTTTTTTTATGTAAACGACGAGAGCTGCTAGCTTTGATTCGCAAAAGATAACAGTATGAGACGATTGCTTCAGAACTGATCCGACTTATCTCTCTAACATAAAATCTAAAGATCCTATAACATGGAAATATTTTTGCCTTCAATAATAGTGAAACTATATTTTTTAAGATTTTATTCTTTACTAAAGAAATACTAAAAGAATAAACTATTATTCCTTAGTTCTAATATAATCTTTTTTTTTTTTTTTATTATAAACTTAGATACACCAAAAAGGTATTTTGAGGAAACGTGATGTATTAATTGCGTATTCCAGACTGCAACGTGCGTACTCTATCGTAGGTTTAATCGACAGTTGTATTTCTACTGTGCGAAATATTTGAGCGAGATATCTTCTTAAAACGATTCTTCGGTTAATTCTCCGACACGACTATGCGTGAGGATAATCTCCTCTCGGACGATTCTCATCTCGTTCTCGTCGCAAAACTTTCTGCGCGATTCCGAATGATAATCTCCTTTCACGAGACCGTTATCGTCGTCGCAAGAGGCGATTCCAGGTCTCGTAGCTTTCATAAATGGACTGACATTATCCATGATATCACGTCCTTGCACGTGTGATATCATAAAACTCTAATCATCGCGATATGATTGACTTATTATTTTTCGTTTGCACTGAATACCTATCTCGTTCACGAAAATGAGACGTTACGCAAGAATATTTAATGCGCGATCTCGCAGACAATAAGTGAGCCCGCTGTTATATAATATTAGCAAATTGGAGTAAGAGGGAGTAGGTTTGTAATACCGAGATTTTAATTGGAGATCTAATCTCGAACGGATTAGATTACTTAGCGTATCGATAGTGCGACTTCCAATAAATGCGCATGGAGTATTATGTAATTATACATTGTGCATTGAAACATGCATGATATTATTAAACCTAATTATTAAGTATCAATATTTATTCAATTATATTGTCGTCACGAAGAACTTTGGTCACAGCTCGCATTACCCGTGAGAGAACATCTTAAGCAGCCGGTCGCATATAACACGTGCATATCTCACGTCAAAATCGAAGCGGTTTGCCGGTGATTCATATATCACGCCATACATTTGCGATATTACATCATAAATATTTAATTTCATAAGCACGGTTTCGAGTTACCGAACAGCAGCCATAAATCGACTGGAGGGAAACATTCTGCGGCAGCAATTCGGAAAATTGACTTCGGAAAAAATCTCGTAAGCACAGCAGTCAAAAATATGTTCCTCGGTTTTAGTTGGATCAAATTAAAAAATAGATAATTTATATGTAAACTTGCAAAGAAGAAATCATGACGCAAATTGCGACTTTATTAATTATTAATATCGTCGAAAATATTTCGCGAATCGATACGACGTCAATTGGGGGATAAAATTATTACGAGCGAGAATAAATGTTTTGATTTGAATCACAGGATGCACGTACGGATTTATGGCGTACTTTAATCACCGATACCCTGCCTTCTCTAATAACGTTTAATCATAAACACACGTTATGATTATCGAGCTCATTCACGTGAGTTATAAGTTATAGGTGCCGAATTTTAATCGAGTAACAACCTTTAATTGCTCAAGTGTTGATCACGTGCAGAATAACGTGACAGAGTCACGCGATTGACAGGATAGATGGGAATTGTCGTTGTCGGTCGTGGATCTAAAGAAGAATATTTAGAAAAATATTTAGAAAAAAAGAATCGTAGAAAAGCAAACTTTATGAAGATTTTTTGCAAGATTTTGTTTCACGTCTCTGCTTATTTCAAACGACATTTTCTTTTCTTTTAATCACATCTATGGTAGTAGTTCTATCCTCGATAGAGTCTAAATAACGCAGCAAATATGAACAAGAAAATAGAAAGATTATCTCAAACGCGGGATATAAAATTTCCATGCACCTAATTTTATGCGAGTACTTTGTTTTCTAAACGAGCGTACTTAATAAAATAAATTGTTTTTTTTTACATTAGATATAGAGAACATGCTCGCAGTTTAGCAGCAACACTACGAATTATATTAATAATATTTTTATTCCTAATTTACATAATAATTCAATCTTTTTTAAAGCTTTAAGTGTACCATAATCTTTATACTTCAAAATCTCTTACGTGTTACTTTGACTAAAATTTTATTATTTACGATCTTAAATTTCTTCTCGAAAAATTGCAATCTTGCAAATTTCTTTATCATCGCACAGTTATCTCTCCATTCTTCATAACCGTTTCTTTCAGTTCGTAATTCAAGATATCGGTTTCAGGGATTTCGGAATATGAGGAAATGAATGAGAATCCGCAGGTGCGTCCACGGCTGAGGTGGCGAGTTCGCGAAGAGCGTACATATGCGAAAAATTTCGCAAGTGACGTACACCGGCACGTACGTCGGATGACGAACAGCGGTTAAAGTTACGCGATTGCACGGGGTGCTCCGCATAGCGACGCACGTTCGAGGCCGTGACGCATTGTCGTCTCGTTCAAAAGCACGCGGAAAGCCTGAAAATCCCGGGCAGACTTGGCAGACATTGTGACAAGTGATATTCTCTCGCGGATCTTTTCTCTAGCGACTCGTTACAAAATAGAGAACATTGCAGAACAGAAATAGAGAGCGGCATTAGAATCCGCGACCCCTTTTCGCACAGCTGGATAAACTTCGCAGTCTCAGATTCAATTTAATTATATTTAATTGATTTAGATTGTGTCGCAAAAATATTTTTGTTATCGCGTCCGAATTTTATCGCTGCGGGTTGATATTTTTATGTGTACACACAAGGTAAATAAACACGTGCTGTAGATAATTCATATTTAATCATAATATATATTGATTAATTATATTTATATTAGTAATATATATTACTACAAAAAAATTCAATTTAACGATAAAAGTTTATGCAAAAATGTAATTCAACGAAAGATAAAGATCAACGAGTTTTGGAGTAATCGGTGAATTAAAGAATGTCAATGTGCGCAATTTTGCGAATGATACAGGAACATGCTATTCTGTAGCATGGGTAGATAAAGTTATGAGAATTCACTGATAAAGGATATGTGATATGCATTCGCTGTGAAACTACATCCGCGGTAGTATCAAGTTGATCGGAAATGCTGTCATTTCAACTTTCTAGACATTACCGATTTCTCGCAAAGTTATTACTTGCTGCATTTGCTAATGTATTTCTATTATAAAAAATGTAAATGCGAATAAAAATTAATCTATTTATATAATATATTAATTCATCCTAAGGACGTTAAAATCTGAAAAACTTGCGAACAATAATTGTTTATAGGAAAATGAAGCATTATGTATATTTTATTATACTTATTTATATGACTCGATCGCGGAAAAGCAATAAATCTCTTTTTATTTATTGTAATTGGCGCATTCGTTACGCACGTCATAGTGGGACTTTTTATTGCAATAATCGTATGCGTTTCTATTGAGTCGTGCATTTCCGCCGCTGACGTGCGACTCGGCGATCAATCGCATCGTAAGAAAGCGCGAGGATGCACGCGAGAAAGTCAAGCACGTGCTATTGACATACAGGATCGTCCAAAATATATTTTACCGATTTTGCGAATGCGTCTACGAGTGAAACACGAAAGAATCGAATCATGCTGTAAATAAATTTAAGATCTGCTACTCGAAAAATTCTGCCTTTACTCAAACACG